GGACGTGGGGTCCCGGCGGGGCCGGGGCCCGGGCCCGGGGCGCTGCGCGGCGCTGCGCTGCGCGGTGCGGTGCGGGGCAGGGAGGCAGCGCGGTGGCTTCTTGCATCAGCCTGGCCTCCCGTCCGCGGGTCTCCTGACATTGCAAAAGGGTGTTTCGGCGGTATTTGCCTTGGGTCCCAGCTCGGGTTCGTGCTGCCGAGTGGAGTTCAAAATACCTCGCTGGAAAAACAAATAGAGATCAAAGAGGACAAAATGGATCCTGAATTTCTTCCAGATTGATTTTTTTTTTTTCAAAATACATATCTGCTGCACCGAGATTACAAAACGGCGAATTTTTCTCTTCTCTTCCTCCTCAGTCACTTGTACTTTTGCCTAATTGTCATTCCTGGGGGTTAGAAACCAACTCTTCCTCCTTTGTCTTTTTTTTTTTTCTTTTTAAGAAAGGTAGCTTTTTGTGCAAACCTGTCCTATAAATCTGTTTTCTAAAGAGTCAAGAGGGCTGCGTTGCCAAGAGATATTAAGGGGTTTAGACAGAGTGCCCACGTGAAAGTGGCTGTTCGCTAGGCGGGCATGGATTATGTTTTAAAGGCTATAACAGGTTAGTTCTCTCCTGCCATTTCTCCTCGGCACTTGGGAGAGAACGCGGGCCAGATCGTCTCCCGCAATCCTGAGAATAAATGTTGCTTGCAAACTAATGTTATTCACGTTATTTGTTCGGCACGGATGCTGGAAGGTAACTCCCCAATTAGGAGCCATTTCGGCTGTAACTGAAGTCGTGCAGGCACTGCACGCTTTGTTTCTAGCCTGTTATATCTCTACTTTCTGCAGTGACAGCCGCACGTTAGGCTGTGCTCGATGGGAACTGAGGCGCAGCTCTGGCTCCAGTGTGGCACAGAGCAGCTCCCTGCCGCCTGCCAGGTTTGGCTCCTGGGACAATTCTTTCCGCTCTCCAAGAGTTTTTCCACCGTTGCCTAAAACGGGGGGTTATTCGCCTCCTGGCTCCTCAGTAAACTTGTAGAGTAGCGTTGGTTCCCCGGCTATAGGTTAGACTACTCTGTATGGGTGTCTAGTGATAATACCCTTTTAACCCTCCCCTCGCTCCTTCTCCCCTCCCCTTCCTCTTCCCCGGAGGAGGAAACGGCTGATCAGGTAGAGTCCAGGTCTGTCTGTCCTCCGGAGTCGCATAAAAGCCTTGTGCTGCCTTTCCTCCTAGGCAGGAGGATGGTGCCGATGAGAAAAGAAAGAGGATAACGCTGGGGAAGAAAAAGTAGGGAAGAATTGCGGGGTGTCGGTGGGGTTTGGGGGGGGGAAATGTTGCGGGGATAGATACGTGAGAGATTGCGAGATGTTCAGATAGCTGGGGGATGGCGGGCCATATAAGTGCTCAGGCAGATCGACGGTGAGGTCTGCCCTTCGGTTCTGTCCTTATTTGTCCGTTGATTGCCCGGGCACCACGGTGATGGGAACGTTAGAAATACCAGCAGATCTCACGTAGGCAGCTTGACGATGACTCCGGGCATGGCAGAAGGCATGACTCTTCACGCTGGGACTAGGGTTTTGTGCTTTGATGATAATATTTATCTGTACTGTTAATCTGGCTGTCGTGCTGAATAAAACCTATCTAGCTAGCCAGGCGCGTTGGAGAGCATTAAATAAAAGCCCTGGCAGAGGCTGCGTTGGGAAAGCGGGGTCCGGCACGTGTCAGGCAGCTTTCCTGAAGGCGAAGGTGGAGGGACACAGGAATCACGGTGCTCCTCTGGTGAAGGTGGCAAAGGGGATGACTCCTTACGGAGGGAGTTGTTATGGTCGCTCCTGAAGCAAGGCTGGGATGGTGGGAAATCGTGTCACGGTCAGGGCTGGGTGGGGGCTGATGCCACAGGTGTCTGCCTCCACTGGTGACGATAGCCTTTCCATGCAGGAGAGGGAGGAAAAGGTGGTTTTGCAGTGCCACCCTCCCAGATGTTTGCCTGTACCAAGCTGCGGTGCGCAGTCCTCATGCCGCACGGGGTCAGAGAGGTTGTGTTGTTGTCCCCTTCCAGTCCCCCCTTTCCTAAAGAATGGGGGTTGGCTGGTTGTTCCCCATCTTCCTTTGTCTGTGGGTCGTGGCAGCAGCCTGGTGACAGGTCACCCCTGATGCAGGTCTGGAAACTCTTCCCTTCCTGCCCTGAACTGTGGAGGGACCTGGACACACCAGCTGTATTGCCATAGGGAACAGGCAGCAATCAGGCACTGAGGGAGGGAGAGCAAGCCTGTGACTAGACTGCTAATGATTGCACACCCACCAGGCTCCCTGCCTTTGGTGTGCCTCTGCGCCAGGCCACCATGGGGAGCCACCAGAACCTGCTTCCCCAGGCCGTGGGCAGCCGGGACGCAGTGGGTCACCTTCCCCAGAGCTGCTCCGGGCCTGTGCTGCGAGGACAGGCTGGGAGGAGGGCAGGGTTCCTTTGGGAGCAAGGGAGAGAGAAGCCCGTGCTGACATCTCAGAGGGGCTCACTGGTTCCTGAGCAACCCCAAAGCCCCTCTCCTGCTCCCTGTCAGAGGTGCCTCGGCTGTGCTGGCAGCCTGTGGGATTACTGACCTCCCTCTGCATGTACAATGGAGAAGGAGCGCAGTGAGTCCTGTGTCCCCCCCCTTCCCTTAAGTAGAAACCGCTGAGAAGAATTTCTAGCGCCTAAGACGAAAAGTGCCTTAACTCCTGTCCCAGAGTCCCTCTCAAAGTGGATGGATTGTTTGTTCCAGTCCTAAACAGTTACAAAGCTCTTTTAATGAGGCTGCACAGATTAGGGGGAGGGGAAGGGAGAGAAAGAGTGCTGGTGGTGGTGGTGAGGGGGGTGATGGTTGGAGAGGAATGACTTGATTAACCTTTTCTCTCCCTTCAGAGAATTAATTGCTGCAGACAGGGACTAGGGGAGAAGGGAGACAGAGAAGTGAAGACACACGGATGGTGTGAAGTGGATTTATTTGTTAGGGAGGATTTTACTCCACTGCGGGACGTGCATTTGCTGCGACCTGCAAAGGGCACGGAAAGAAGCTTCCCCTTGGTCAGCCCCATTCCCGGGGGTCGTTTGTCCCTCTTTGGAGCCCAGGGGTTGCTTCCACACTTCAGTGAAATGTTGAAAATCTATTGGAAGGAAATGGTGATACAGAGCTTCTGGGTAATGCCAAAAGCCAGCAGAGGAGAGTGTGACCTTCAGGCTCCCACCGAAGGGCATGCCAGGCCTGCTTGTCCCTTGGAACGCTTTTGGTTCCCCGTTGCCCTGTCTGATATGTAGCAGACTGGTTTAAAGTGAGGCACAAGCCCCTGCCTCGCTTGCTCTGAGGGCACTGGCCACAGGTGAAAGGCACTGCCGAAAGGGCAGAACAGTTTCTTGGTATAGTGGGCAGGGAGCGTGTTACTGATAGTTCTGGGAAACCTTTTGGGTTTCTGCTGAGAGCTCCCCCGGGAGTGCTCCCTGCAGAGCTTCTACCGATCTTGTTTCCCATCCTTGGGGTGGGATCGCAACCCAGGTCTAGGTGAGCGCTGGGAGAGTGTTCTGGGTCCTGCTGCAGCACATCAGGGGCAGGGCAAGGTGCTGGCTGGACGCAGGTGAGCAGTGAAACCGTGTGGCTTGCTTCAGCGTCCCATCACCTCCGCACCATGTGTGCTTACCTGGGAGGAGGCGGTGGGCAGCCTCGCATAGAGCATGGGTAGAATGACCCATGTTCAGTCCGTCACGGTCATTCTGTGTGTGAACCAAAAATCCCTCTGCGAAAGGTCTTGGGGGGGGTTGTGACTTGGGTAAACTGACTTGGCTCGTGATCATCTTCCTGTGCTACGACACAGATTGAAGCTTTTCTGCCCTTGATGTGGTTTTCTTTTGACCCATAGATTGTCAGGCGCTGAGTGGCTTTGGAAGGCCACTGCAACCTCCGCTGCCTCCATTTTGTTTGTGCTGTTGCAGTGACCTTCACACTTCAGGAATGAAACTGTTTCTAGGAACCTGCTTTTTAAACTGTTGTCACAGCACTGAGGCTGGGCACGCAGCCCTCTCCTCCCCAGAGAAGAAATAGATCCAGGCATGGGGTGGCTTGGGCCTGGGCTGGTGAGTTATGCCCAGGTACAGAAAGACTTTGAAATGAGAAGCAAGGAGTTGGGTCAGGGGGACCTCAGACAAAGGGAACTGTGCACAGACACAAAGGAGCGGCTGGGAGAGGGGTTTCTAGGGCTCGGCCATCTCTCTTTCCCCCTCCTTTTAAAAGCTGACGCTTTGGGCTGCTGGGACAGTGGTGCTGCTCTGTGCATGGGGCTGCCAAGAGGACCATAGGTGCAGATTCCTGTTGTGAGCTTGAGGTGGACTTCTCCTGCTCCATTCTTACAGTCCCGCTATAAGATCGGAGGGCCTTCTTCTAAGCCTAAATGCAGGGTTATCGCTGATGAAGCAGTATTTCGGCTGTATTGCCACTCTCTTTTTGGCCTCTGCTGAAAGGCAGCGGGTTCTGGGGCGGGTGGCGTCACACAGGTGGCAACATACCTTGGAGAAGTGAAGAAAGGCAGGCATTTTTCAGTTTTGGTTCAGAACAGAACAGCAGGGGGAAACCTGACTTGGCTGGAAAGTTACGTCAGAGCTAAAACCCTCACGCAGAGCAGGAAGAGTGGAGTTTTTGTTTCACCTGGAATTAAAAAGATTTCCCTTAGTAAAGCGGTGTAACGCTCCTCCATCCCACTCTGGGGGGGGGGTTACCTGTCACCAGCCCTGCCTGCGTCAGCGGTGTGGCAATGCCCCTGGTCCCAGCAGGGGTGAATGCTTGAGACCTCGAGGGTTTTGTCCGGGGGAAGCTGTGGGGAGCAGAGGGATGGGGGCCGGGCCCATTCGGTGAAGGCACAGGGACCCCCCCCTGCCAGGGGAGGGGAGGGAAGCCCAGGCGGTTGGGCAGCCTTCCTCGGCGAAGTGGTGCTGTCACAGTTAATCGCCCTGACACCCGGCCAGATGCCGACACCTCGGTGGCCACCACCGCTCCGTGACAGACATCTGTGACATTGAGAGGGGAGCCGTGCCCTTTCGCGCCTGGCCGCCCTTCTCCCTCCTCTGCCCTCCCCGGCCCGGTTCACCTCCACGGGGGAAATGGAGGCGTCCAGCCCCGCCAGTCATGTCAGCGCTGGAAGGTCACCCCTGTTATTTTCCTCCCCCGGACCCAGGTTTTCTCTCCGTTTTTTGACCGTGATCACTGGCAGCGCCGCTCCAGGGACGCGTTTCTCCCTTCGGGGCCTCTCCCGGGCCCGCCGCGCCGCAGGCCCGGCCGCCTCCCTCCCGTCTGCCCCTTCCCTTCGGCCCGGGGCCGTCCCGCTCTGCCCGTGTCCCTCTCGCCTCCCCGGGGGACGAAGAGGGGGAACAAAAGGCCCCTCTGTGCCCGCCGGGCCGGCACGGCCCCACCTCGGGGGTGCCCCCTCCCGCCGGGGCCTCCCTTCGCCTCCTGCCCGGCGGGGCGGCGGGCCCGGGAGCCCTCCCGCTTCCCGGGACCGCGTAACGGCTCCGCGTTGTGACCCGATTTTCTGTTATCTTTGCAGTTGTCGAAGGCTGCTCCTGCCCTGGGGGATGGGGAGCGGAAACCCAATGAAGGTAAGCGCTGGGCGGCTTCCCGGCGGGTGGGGGCGGCCGGGGGCTCGGGGGAAGGAGGCCCGAGCCCCGGGACCCGCCG